TAGAGAGATATAAAGCGCGACTTGTGGCAAAAGGCTTTACGTAAAGAGAAGGGTTTGATTACAATAAGATCTTTTCTCTAGTCTCATGTATTGATTTCTTTAGAATCATAATGACATTAGTGGCACATTACGATTTAGAATTACATCAGATGGATGTCAAGACGACATTTTTCAATGGGGACTTGGAGGGAAATGTTTATATGGCACAAACGAAAGGTTTTGTCATCGAAGAAAAAGAATGAATGGGATGCCGCCTAAAGAAATCCATTTATGGATTAAAACAAGCTTCAAGACAGTTGTACTTGAAGTTTGATCAGACAATAAGAAATTTTGGGTTTAAAGAGAATGTAGAGGACAATTGTGTCTATGCTAAGTTTAAGAATAAGAAGTTTATCTTCCTTGTCCTGTATGTGGATGATATGTTGCTTGCTAGTAGTGATGTCAGTCTACTACTGGAGACAAAGAAGTTTTTGTCCTCAAAATTTGATATGAAAGATATTGGTGAAGCTTCATTCGTTTTAGGGATCGAGATTCGCCGAGATCGAAGTAAATGGGTATTAGGACTGTCACAAAAGGTATACATAGAAAAGATCTTAAAGAAATTCAGTATGCACAAATGTAGTCCCTCACCTGCTCCTATAGTCAAGGGCGACAGATACGGGGATTTTTAATGCCCTAGGAACCAGTATGAGATCGATTAAATGAAAACGGTTCCTTATGCTTTAGCTGTCAGAAGCTTACAATATGCTCAAGTATGTACGCTCCCTGACTTGACATTTGTTATCGGGTTACTTAGCAGATTCCAGAGCAATCTTGGAACAGAACACTGGAAATTAGTAAAAAAAGTCTTGCGTTATTTGCAAGGAACGAAAAGCCTCATGATGACATATAGAAGATCAGATTCACTCCATATAGTGGGATATTCAGATTCTGGTTATGCGGGAGATGATAGAAAATCCACGTCTGGATATGTATTCACTCTCGTAGGGGAGCTATTTCATAGAAAAGCTCAAAGCAAACCGTCACTACATCATCCACAATGTATGCCGAGTTTGTAGCGTGTTATGAGGCAACGGGGCAGGTGAACTGGCTAAAGAAGTTCATACCCGGTTTGAAGGTGGTTGACGACATCTATAGACCACTTAAGTTATACTGCGATAATAATCCGACAGTACAGTATGCTCACAACAATAAGTCAAGTGGTCTGTCAAACACATTGACATAAAATATTATGTTGTTAAAGATAAAGTCCGGGATCATGTCATAAATCTTGAGCATATAAGTACCAAAAAGATGCTCGCGGATCCGCTTACAAAAGGCTTACCACCCAACGTGTTCAGAGAGCATGTAGCCGACATGGGTTTAAAGAAAAAGTCTATAATTCCTGGACAAAAGAAGGCCCAAAGTTAAGTATCTATTTCATAATAGAGTGGTGTGCTGTAGCTGTTAAATCTATCGGTAATTGACCGTGACGATAAAACATGCACTATGCGCTAATCTGTAATGCAATGAACAAAAGTAAATGATATGAAATTGAAAGATGGTGGTGAGATCAAGGGGGAGAATGTTAGTTGATCTCCACCAACGGCCTATTGGGCCCTTGGATCTGCGCCCTGATCGGGGGCGCCCAACCCTAATATGGTTGGTGGGCCTCTGTCGCACATCACTATAAAAAGAGGTGGGGATCAGCGTTCTAACTACGAGGTTGGCCGGAGCCGCCGTGACCCACCAACAGCTAAACCTAACCCGATCTAAAGATAGTGCTGCTAGAGACGGGAAGACCCACTGACTTCGCCGTCACCACCAGACACCTCGGTCACCGTCGCCTCTGCATCGCCACTACTACACTGGACTCCACCGCGCCGAGCTCCCACGACACCGGCGTCCATGCGGCTGCGGCGCAACTGAGCCAGGACAAAGTAAAGGAACCAATTTCTATATTAAGTAAGATGTTTACCCCCTGATCTACGTTTGAGAGGTACATTGTTTTCTAACACCGTCCACCGCTCGCCTGTTCAAGTTCCTTCCGCCACACCGGTGGCCGCAGGGCACCGACATCGCTGCCGTCGCTGGCTGGTCCGTCGCCGGCCTCACCACTGCGGCTCGTCCAGGTAAGCCCTGCCTGTTCCCTGTCTGTACTATAATAATAATATAATATATAGTACTGTGCTTGGTATGGAAAAAGCAACGCAACACCTATTATTGTCATCATCGTGGTTTCTTGTGCGCAGCCCTTCGACTGGATCAAGAAGACGTTCTTTGAGAAGCAAGAACCTGAGGAATCAAAGTAGAACCCTGCTCGCAAGATGAACTGCTTCTTGCACATACGCGCAGCTTGGTTAACTGTGTGATGTATCCATGCAAAGGATGCAGCTGGTGTAGCTAGACTACGCGATATATATATTCGTATTCTAGCAATCTCCTTGAAACAAAGTGAAATCTGAATCTCTGTTTTGATCACAGCATACTACAATTAACGGGAAAAGCTAAATGACAGTAGATTCTTTTGGAGGTTGTTGGCCTGTTTTGTTTTGCTCTGGCCTTGCCGCACTTTCTACTCTGACTATAGTGTTATGCTTCGATAGGGAACGGCTCTTACCTTGGGAAGGGATGCTTAGAGCATCTTTACCAGATTGAGAAAAACAATTCTCTTTCTCTAAAAACTGTGATATAAGAGAATGAGATAAAAAAGTCTCTTTTTCAATCTCTTCTTTTCTATATTTTTTTCTTAATTCCTCAAAAACTCCCATTTTGCATCATCCTAACATTGATAGGTTTTTGGGGATAGGGTCATGACCCAACGGTCGATCCAAATAAAAACATTTTTCAAAACCTCTTTAATAACCTTGCACAGACCCTCTTAAACCAAGGAACCGTCTCATCACCACAACAAAGGATGAGATAGTTTAGAGACGAGGTAGGATTAGATGGACCTGTCCCTGATTTTTATGATGGGACCGACCCATCTCTGTGGTTGGTTATGGGGATATAGTCATCCTTGCTTTTTGTTTGGCTGGAGGGATTCATAGGAATAGGATGACACAATTTTTGACACGGTTAGTAGACATCATCTGGAGACCCATACAATATGTGAACCCCACCTGTCATTTTATCTAACAACTTTCTCATTTTTCTTTTTTTTTCTGGTCGAACCATCTCCGCGTGCTCGGGAGTTTCTTCTTTTTTTTCGGCCGCATCTCATCTTCTCCACGGAGCATCGCACCTCCACACCTTGCCGCGAGCTTGAGCCCCATGAGGAGCCGACGTGCCGCTGAGACGGGAGGAGATGTCCTGCCTCCACCGGGGAAGAAGTTGCCGTGCCACCGGAAAGGGAGGAGCCACTGTTGTCGCCATGAGCCAGGCTCCCGCAAGGGCAGGAGCTGCAATGCTGCCACGAGCTCGACACGGGGAGGAGCCAACCGCGTTGCGAGTCTGCAACCTCGGCACGGGGAGGAACCGCCGGTGCCTCTACGAGCCCGTGCGAGGAGGAGGAAGCACCCGCCGGAGCAGACGGCCGAACAACGTCATCAATCGGGGATAACCCCGTCCGCTCGTTGTCATCCATAAAAAGAGGACCGGCCCGTTCCATCCTCGTTCGCTCCACGAACCAAATACACGCTTAGTTAAACGGAATTGATAGGATTAGGCCGTCTGGATGGCTTTAATCTCCGGACGCAATGTGGCGGCCTAACAGCCTTACATCTCTCTACTTACGAAACATACAGTACCCGCTTCTCTCCTAAATATTCAAATTACTCATTCGCTTTTCTCTCTGGTTCACTTGGCATCGCTTGCTCTGACTTCCTGCTCGTCACCCGATGTCGGCCACCCTCTCCCCTGCGCCCAACTGCAAGCGCCAGCCTTCCTGGACATGCGAAGCCCAATATGTCTGCTCCCCTCTCTCACACGCTCTCTTTTCTCGTCGCGCCGCCGCTCTCTCTCTCCCTCTCGGGTTGCTACTTGCATGCCCAGACAGGGCTGGCCGATCTCGGAGCTCCCCAGTCATCGTTGCTCCCTTTCCTTCTAGCCCTCTCACACCCCACTCCTAGCTCCACCAACGTCGCCTTAGGCTCGTAGTTCTCCCTGTGCATGCTCGCCGAGCAAATCCCCCGCCGCCCCTATTTTCTGCTTGTCGCGGCCATAGGACAGTAACCGTGGCGAGCCCTCCACCAGCCAGCCACGCTACCTCCGTGTCCGCCTTGCCTCTTTTCATCTCCTGCACGCGTTCACCAGTGTGGATATCTGAAGGCACATTGCCGCCGCTAGTGCCGCCTCCGACATGTTGCTGCGGCCGGCCCTACACCGAGTCTCCTTCGTCCAAGCAGCAAGGAGATGTTGTGCTTGAAAGCGAATGTTGCAAGAATATGTTTCGAGTGTTTCAGATGTTTTAGAGGTATATTGCAAGTGTTTCATATGGATATTGCAAAAGTAAATCTGGATGTTTCATATGTTGCAATGGTTGTACACGTATGTTGCAGGCGTATATTCCAAATGTTTCATTTGTTTTCAAACGTATGTTATAAGTGTGTTTATCTGGATGTTGCATATATTTCACACATACGTTGTAAGTGTTTTATCTAGATGTTGCACATGTTTTTCAATAGCTTCTCAAGTGTTTTTTGCAAGTGTTTTCGATGCATGTTTGAAGTGTTTTAAATGCATGTTTCAAGTGTTTTATCTGTTTTCACACATATGTTGCAAATGTTTCATCTGGATATTTTAAAAACAGATCGGGTGTTGCTGTTGGGAACCCACCTGCCGCAGTAGGCATCCGAGCGAGGGAAGTAGAGGGGGCGCGAGCGGTCTCCGTGTGGAGTCAGAAGGCGCGCGCGACGTTCGGACGGCGCCGGCCCCACGTGGGCACACGAAAACGAAGTGCAGGCGCGGGCATCCGAATGCGCGGGCGTCCGTCCGGACGTCCGAACGCTAGCATTGCCGTTAGTTAAAGGCATCAATAAGTAGGAGGTTAGACTAGAGGTGGTAGTGCTTGGTACAAGAGGATGGCGAGATGGTGGTGGCAGCTCACAGGTATTGCGGTGAGAGTGAAAACAGTGGTGGGAAGGGTTTGTGTGACGAAACCCTAATTTAGGGTTGGGGGAGGAGGCTACAATGAAAGGTATTGGGTGGCAAGATGTAGCTGAATGGACTATGAAAATATAACGCTGCAATGGGAAGGCTTCATGGCTATTCTTGCAGCTCACAGGGGCGCTACCAGGTAGCGGCTGTTGGAGGTCGACATGAGAATGTGATTGTTGATTGATCGATTTATTTTATTCTAATACGAGCTTTGTTCTAAAAGAGAAGGAACATAAGTTTATCCTGAGTCAAACTAATATAAATTTTACAATTAATAGAAAAAGATAATAATATTTTTTTATATCAAATTAATATTATTAGAAACATATTTTCTTAATTTATTTTTTATGTGGTAGATGTTAATACTATTCTTTATTATCTTTGTCCCAAAAATAAATGTAGTTCTAACTTCGTTCTAAGACGAATTAAACCATCTTATGTTTGGCCAAATTTGTACAAAACATATGAATGTTTGATGTCACCGAATATTTTTCATTAAATTCATCATGAACTATATTTTTACACTGTACCTATTTTGTGCTATAAATGCAAAATATTTTCTCTATAATAAATATTTTCAAAATTAAGGTATTTTGAATTATGATAAAGCTATAAATGCACTTGTGGGATGAGAGTAATATAAACTTGATTAAATATAGAATAGTATAGTTTAGTTCAGCACAGACCCAAAATCTTTTGCATTCCCTCTGTCACAAAAAAATACAACTATAGGATTTGTGTAAGTTAAACTAGCTTAACTTGATTAATTTTATAGTAAACAATATTAACATTTATATATTTAACTAGGTTTACTATGAAAATATATTTCATAATTAATTTAATGATACTTATTTTGTATAAATGTCAGTACTTTTTTTATATCTTTGATTAAATTTAGATAATTTGACTCCTTAAAAAATAAGAATTTTATTTATTTATTTTGACTGAGAGTACTATTTCAAGACAGATACAGTACTTCCGGGCCCTGCGTCTGACGCAACACAAGACCAGTTTGAGGCAGAATGCGCCGTGATCCTTCGAACGTGTGCAAAGTTTGCTTCGACCGTTGCACAAACTGCCGTGTTTCTCGTGCTCAATTATTCGAACAAACTAAGCTATCGGAAGATGGCATGATGGCATCTCAGATCATGATTATGGTTGTCATAGAGGAAGATGACACTGTCGTGAAGCTTTCAATGCACTATTACTGCATTATTGCTGCTGTGGAGTTTGTCATGACCGTTGACCTTCCTGCTGCCAACATCGGCATACATATTTGTATATCAAATACAGCATGTTCCGCTGTGTGGAGTTTTCCCCTCTGGTTCAGCAGAAGGTTACACAGTTTTTCCAGAACGAAGTAGAGTAATAGTATTTATTAGACAGTGACGTAGAACAACTGGCAAATACTGTAAGTTGCTTTTTTTAATAGTAGGAAGTGATGTGAACTGTTTGCAAGTATCCAAATAGCACATAACCATGAAAAATGGTCCTTAAAAGTTTGTCCAAATAATAATCGGCGACATGCACATAAGGTTCACATCAGGCGAGAGAGGCTAGCAATGGGGGGCTTTCCCCGGCTGGTCAAAAGGCTAACAATTAGCTCCTCAGTTTTCTCCTTTCTTGACAGAACGATTTCAATTTTTTCTCTTGTTCGGTAGAAGTTTTATCAATATATGTATCTATGCCAAACCATCCGCAAGGCTCTGAAGATTGAAGAACATGTTTGCGCTAAAGAAAGAAATGGACTCGCTCATTTCATATCGTTATTAGTACTAAGAACATGTCTCTGCTGTTATCAACTCCTGTTCCTCTATCATCAATGCGCATGATGTCCTCGATTAGGTTGTGCAGACCAGTGACCAATTTGCAGTTAATGTTTTAAGGAGGATTATCTCAACGTAATGATTCATCTCTCCTGTTGCGTGACGCACTCACCTACTTATTTAGCTACGAACCGCCAACTACACAAGACATGAACACTTCCTTTGTCGACAAGGACGTGTTTATGAGCTAAAGAAACTATTTCAACCAATCCTATTTGCAAGGATTTTGAAAAATGTCACCGCCATCTTGGCACATATAGTATCTGCAAACCCATCAAGTGTGTCAAACCATCAAGATCGAGACAAAACAGTAAAGAAGTCCAGAAATTAGGGGCGAAAGAACGGGCCGGGGACACCCAAAACCAGTTGGAAGAAATTATTTTTCTGAGAGGCGCATTATTAGGGAACAGACAATCGGAAAACGCTGTCACCAACCACTCTTTGAATAACTTTCAGGAGACCAATAGCTGTTTAGCAGACAAGTTTCTTCAGCTTTACTCTATCTATTGCTGAGGCCTGTGGTAATGCAGGCAAGTCTGTCTTCTCTAGTGAAAAAGTGAAAAATCCACTAAAAGAAAAGGAGACCAAGAACACCGCGAACTTGCATGTATAAGATGTGAAGAATTTTTCTTCAGAATTTGGCACGATTAATTAACTTCTAATAACCCTACTTTCGCAGAAGGAGAGGGGAAATGGAACTGATGATCAAGTAGAAGATGTACTCCTGTACGCATCATCTGAAGTGGCTGAGGTGGCTGGTGTGGTGATGCCTGCACTCGTCAAGGCCACAGCATTGTATCACTGGATAGCAAGCCACGAAGAGGCACCTCCCAATCCCCCTGACGACGGAGCCGAGCACGTAGCAGGGGCAGCAGGAGCGAGCTAGGCACCGGTTTTCCTTGGCGTGAGCCGCTTCGCCCCTTCCGCTGTGGTGATTGCTCTTCCTGTAACCCATTTCAGTCCTATTCTCTGATGCTTTATTTGAAGTCCTCCGAGCCTAAAGAAGAACAGGAACGAAAAACACCTCTTGGATTACAAGATACTACTTCAAATACTGATACGTTACAGCAAATCAAGACAATATAATCTTCATAATAAACAAAAGATGTTTTTCAAGGAGTATGAACAAGGATGTGTACCAAATTAAGAACATGTGAACAAGAGGGAGATAAGTTAGAATCTTTGATGCATACCTTTAGTTTGATATATGGAGCACTACTTAGGTGCCCTCAAATTGGCAAGAAGCTAGCCTGACAAAACAGATGCCTGCCTTTCCATAGGCAAGAGGTTTGTATATATGCTTGCAGTGGATGGATAGATAGGAGAAGCACTTGAGGTGGGGGAAGCTTTTCCAAGGCTCCAACGAACAGACAGACAGATGCCCTAATAAGATGCTTGCACTCCTGTTTTTCTATATGATTCCTTCACACCCTGTTGCTCTTTCTCACCCCCTACAATTTTAATGTATATCAGGAGTTTTTTCCTTGTTTGACGAGTCACCAAATGTTTTAATAAACATGGCAGCATGGTGCATCATCTGGTGAGACGTTTCTGTTGGGTCGTATTCTGCACAAGTAAGACTTTGACAAGGACAACGGAAAATAGGAGGTGGTAGGTGCCACCTGCAGGAGCACCACACACCGGTAAAGGGTGATATGACACTGGAATTCAATTTTGTTTTGGTCTGAGTATGTAGGAGTGTTCGAAACTGATTAGCTTACCATAGAATGCAAGAAAACATTCAAATACGAGGATGGAAACGGTACAATGGAGAACTTTGTAACATACTTTGGTGCTGTATTTACAGTATAATTTAAAGCATTTTTGGTGTTAGAGATAGATAAATCTGATAGGGACTGAGAATTTAAGATAGGGTAGCTCAACCTTTACACTATGGTTGAACCAGAGGATGTAAGCAGCGACGGTGACCCTAACTAAACTTTCCACCAGCAATCAAAAAAAAAAAAAACTAAACTTTCCACCAGGGTCCAAGGAAGTGGAGGTGGAGTCTATGCCATGAACTTTGTTAAGACATGTTCGATGGAAACGAGCCAAGAATTGAAAAATTAAAAATAGTGAACATTTTCATTTTTATAGTTGCAAGGAGTCACAAACATGACACTGCCTGAAGCGCTTCCAAAGTACTGCAGTTGTAACAAAAGAAAAATCGAGTTTTTTTTTACTTAGGGTTACTAGATCTGCTCTGTATTCGGGCCTTTATACAAAATTTTATATTGTGTTTGGACAGCAATCGGGCCATGGGGAATCCAGGCGTGGCGTTGGGCTCATGGCCTACTTGAGGAGATTGAACCAACGAAGCAGGGATATAGATTCTAAACAAATCAAAATTTAAATGGACATACTTTATTATAAAATTTTGGTACCTCTTTTTGTGAAGATTTTGGTACGTTTATTTTTCTCAAATATGGAACAAATGCAAATTTCTCATACTAAAAGATAAATTCGAACAACACTTGAAATTCAATATGGATTATGCAATTATGGCCCCCATCAGAAGGATGTCTTGATCACAAACTTGAAAAACAATTTTCCAGGATGAGGTAGTAATTCCTATGGTCATTTTGTTCATCGATTTGTCTCATTTTAAGACGATGCATATGAAGAGTGAACTAAGCATATTGGTTAGATTCTTTATCATGAAATCTATTTAGAAAGGCCATGGATGCTCACATTTATGATTATAATTATTCTTATGATAGTAGGCTATTATGCATCCATCGACAATGAGATATATGTGTGTGATCGTCAATCTTAAGATATGTTGGCTTGTATTATGGATGTGGTTGTAGAGATAGCATATGTGTGTGTATTGTGTTGTGTTTAAGAAAACAATGAATTGTGGTCTCATAAATCGATAAATGACGGCTGTTCAAAAACAAATTAATCTTAAGCAAAACAAACTCTAACTTGGGTGATGGCAACTGAATGCCCCTAAGGAGCTCCAACATGTTATATGGCCAAACAACCCAAAATACGGTGATGCAACACCACCTACTCATTTGATTTGATGATTCCTGTTGACTCTAAAGGAATTTTGACGTGGGACCAGTGACATTGGAAAACTTATCTCCTTAGTTTCCATGGACATGTATAGAATGTCAAAATCAAAGTCCACATGGGGTCTACGCAATGATTTTAGCAGCAACTGCTTCTAGAGTGCGAGATGGACTAAAAAATGATATAGAATGGACTTCAAACTTGGTTTGTATGCCCACGCTGAAGGTGGCTGAAATGTCCTAAATGACTAGAGGGGGTGAGTAGCCTAATTAAATTTTCTACAAAAATACACTAGAGCAATTTGGTTAGTAAAACAAATGGTGTTATGCAATTTTGCTCTAGCTCTAAGTCAATACAAGTAAGCCACCTACCACCAACACCAACTAGATGCTATGATCTCTAGGTTGTTTTCACTCAAACAAACAAACCTAGTGACAAGGACACACCTACGATGTCCAATATTTTTCTTAATCTTTCACAGTGCAAAATCACGAGAACACAACCTCTTTGAATTTCTAGTAATAAAACTGCAGCAAACCTTGGACGTATATGCTTCGGCAATAATACTGAGATGGAGCACGATATGGCAAAACCAGATCAAAATATGGCAAGATGGTTTCAGCGGGTAACCCAAACAAGCATTAGCAACTGACGGCTAACCAACAAGAAAACTGATTAATTTAATGCCCCAATCACGCGTACCACAGCAACAATCTCAGACCAACCAAAGATAACTTTATTCCAGCCGACCAAATTAAACAAGCCCAAATATTCTCGCTGGTCCAATAAATTAAAGTCGGTAGCAATAATAGATGGATTCGGCCTACACAAGATGCAATCGAAATCCTAGCAGCAGCATTCTTCCACCCATGCTTCCGAGGAATACGATTAAAAGATGAGGGAACTCTGAGAATTCCGAGCAATGCAAGTCGTAGCAACTTGATCACGCACTCCACACAAATCCACACAACGATCCGCTTCAATTCTTGATAGTAGATGGAATCACCATCTAAGTTTCTGGAGCTACGGCTCGACAGGGATAAACTCTGAGTAAAATTCTAATCTGCTTACAAGGGACGCTGGCCCTAGGCATAAAAGGCACGCAAGCCAGCCCAACTCCGACTAGGAAGCGTACCAGCGCCCGACAAAATGTGGCTAGACCAACTCAGAACCCTATACGTGATGGACTCAAGGAAATAAACTATGTAATACTCGACTAAGCTAACAAAACTTACGTGTACATGCATTAATATATATGAAAATAAATATAATATTCTAACCAGTATGTAATCACGTCAGGTTTCCTTGATGACACTACTTCAGAAAGGATTAGTAGGGGCGGCTGGTGAGGCTTTGTAGACGCGGCTTAGCTAGCCGCTCCTACCATACCGTCTCTATAAATCATGTATTTGTAGGGACGGTTCCCAGATTGTCCTTACAAATCGATTTGTTGAGGCGGCTGGTATTATAAGCCACCCCTATAAATCGATTTGTGAGGTGTAAGGAAAATGGACCCTTGACCCATTTATTTTGGATTTTGGTGTTTGATGATCAACACAACCAAATTGGACTAATGAATTTGCAAGTGATTGTTTTGTAGTTCAATAGGATGCAAGACGTGACTTGGACAAAAGCGACGTGATGATCCGATGATCAACACCTCAAGCAAGACCTTAGGAGCACAAGAGAAGACCTAAGATATCAAGCAAAGTCCAAGCATTAAGATAGAAACCAAGCCGCAAGCAAGATCACGAAGAAACGAGCTCACTGCAGCGACCGAACGCTGGACTGGACGCTGGCAGCAAACCGACCGGACGTAGGACAGCAGCGTCCGATCGAGTACAGAGAGGTTCCAGAGCGGCGAACTTGCGACCGGACGCGTTCGGTGGCAAGTGACCGGACGCTGGCAGCGTCCGATTAGTGGTTCGCGGCTCCAACGGTCGGGACGACCGGACGCATCCGGTCAGGACGACTTCAGCGTCCGCTCAGTAGCAGAAAAGCGGGATTTCGTCCACAACAGCTACTTTCTCAGTGGGGCTTATAAATACAACCTCCAACCGGCCATTTGAGTGTGGTGGAGCTGAGGAAACATATCAAGGGTTTTGATACACCATTTTAGTGATCTTCACTTGTATAGTGCTTAATGATTCATTAGGTGATTAGCGTAGGTACTTTGCGAAGTGCTTAGGTTGATTAGACCACCGCTCATGCGCTTGCTCTAGGTTTAGGCCTAGTGTTTAGTGAGGTTTGCATACCTCTTACCACTCGGTGTTTGTGAGCACCATTGTTGTACATCAGAGGGGCTTGTAGTCTTGCGAGATCACATCAACCGCGTTTGCGGTGTGGCCACCACCGTATACCGGAGGGAACAAGGCCCGCAGCGTTTCGGTCGGAAGCTTGAAAGTGAAGACGGCGGGGAGCATCCGGGAGAGGCTTATCGGAAGGCACGTCGGAGACCCACTTGCGCGTGGGGAAGGCCCGAGGCTATCCACGGAGTTACCCGACCGAGAGCTTGGCCCTTACAAGGGATTCCTTGCGAGGGGCTCCAACGAGGACTAGGGGGAAGCTTGCGCGCTTCTCGATACCTCGGTAAAAATATCGGAGTCGTCGACGGGAGTTTGCATATCTTTACCTTGCTCTTTAGCTTCCGCATTTACATTGATTGTATTACTCCTTTTGCGGTAGAGATATCAACACACTAGCAAAACCGTAGTTGCACATTTAGATAGTTTATCTTTGGCATAGGTTTTGCTAAGGGTAGAAAAAGAGACCATAATTTAGAAGTAGATTTTTAAGTTGCCTAATTCACCCTCCCTCTTAGGCGTCACGGTCCCTTCAATTGGTATCAGAGCCGGTTGGCTCAATTTG